ACCAAGTTCCTGTTGACAGTTCATTCAAAGTGATTGCTACTCCTTGTTGGTCTTCGTCATTCACCATGGTTTATACCAAAAAGCTTTGCCAGAATTTCCTCATTTTAGCATTGTGGCAATTTCATTTTCTGTTTGTACACTATATAATAGATATTTCCAAATTTCTATGTTTCAATGCAACATCTGTAATTGCCTGTTAATAAAATTTCTATTATAACCTAATGTGTCTGTTGGTTTTATTATGAACTCATACACCATCTCTCAGTTTTATTTTTAAATTCATACACCATTTCTCATTATCACTTTCACATCATAACTTTCATATCATCACATCATACAACATTTATTTTATTTGAATATTAATTGTTAGTAACAACACGTTTATTGAACATTTGTTAGTTATGTTAGACTGTTACCTATAATTATCTCCCTTTTCTATTTAACTCCCCTTGTGATTATTTCTGTTTACTTGTTACCTATAAATAATATCTGGAATGTGGTTGTCAACCCCTTTTACATGCATAATGTCAAATTTAAACTGTTGTATTAATGTTTAATGGTAAACTAGCGTTGTCATTAGCATTTATGTTCTGCAATTTTACCTGTAATGACTGTAAATTCTTTTCTAAGTAGGAAATTCTATCTTTTTTTTTTTTTTTTTTAAACTGATCACAATATTTAATGCCTCTTGCTCAAAACTTATTTTTTATTATTTTTCCCTGATCACAGTTTAATTTTGTTGGCTTCCTGTTCAATTGCATTGTGAATAACTGATACTTTAATATTGCAACTTTCCTAACATATTTAACACAACAACTAACACTTGACATTAACACTGTCACAATTAATGTTACTAGCCACTGCATTATTAAGTTTACTTGTTTTTTGTAGTTTGTTGATAGACTTGGAAAAAATCTGTTTTTATCTTCTGTAGTTACTGGTATTTGTTCTTTGTGCATGTTTACGGAGTGCTCTTGAGTTTGTTAATTTTTTGTTACACTCCTTGTGACTGCTGCTACATTTTCTATTTCCTGCAGATTTACACTGTCATTTTTCTCTTCCATGACCGCATTTGTCTCTGTGTGGTTAGTATCACCTCTTCTGTCATCTCAGGTATGTTTTCTTTCTCTCACTGTTTTATTTCATGATCTGTCATCTCTTGCTGCCCTGGTTGATTACCAATGATAAGTTCTGCACACGGTGAACTTATTACAGCCATGTTAAATCTTCTTAGTGGTATATGGCGTTTTGACCCATACTGATGCTATTCTAAATTTTTCTATCCTACCCCCGAATGTTCTGCATCTAACCACTTTATCAGTCATATCCTCTGGTTTCACTAATGAAACTTATGTATAAATGAGATCGTCGCCCCTGTGTCTCTTAAAATTGAGACGATTCGATTACCAACTATTCCTTTATGTAGGTTTAATTTCCCACAGTCTTTCACAGAATTTGCATTGTGCACCGGTATCTTATGCCCACATGGTAAGTCTCCATATTCTTGAAACGTTTCACGTATTGTGCATTTGTCTTCTTCTAGTAGCACTGCTGCATTTGTTTCCGATATATCACTTTCTGACTCGGAGTCTGATGTTTCACATACTGCTGCTGCTTTAAATTCTTTTTTATATTTGCAAAATTGACGCGTGTGCCCGTAGAATCCACAAGCCCAGCATTTACTTGAACTATCATATCTCTTTACCTTTTTTCTCCTATTTTCAATTTTCTTCCTGACTTCTTGTTCATACAATTCATTTGCATCACATATGGTTTCATTACCATGCCTTTTTCTGCACACGTCACAATCTATCATTGTTATTTTCCTTCCTCCATTAACTCTTTTTCTAGACGGATATGCTGATCTATTATATCCTGCTTCATATGTCTTTTGTCCTTCGGCACTGGCTCCTGAGTATATATCAGTGTTTTGTGGTATGAGAAAAATATCACGATGTGCTGCATAATAATTTTCTCCTAGTTGTTCAAGATGTTTTAACGAAGTAGGTTTGTGTTCCTTCAGAAATGTGTTCATAGATTTTGATAATGATTCTAGCAATTTGCTTCTTAATAGTAAATCAACTAACAGATCATAGTCGTTGTTAATTTTGGCTGAATCCACCTATTTCTGAAAAGTTGTCTGAACTTCGGACATATAATCGACAAATGTTTGAGTTGATTTTGGTTTTAAATCAATGAATTGCAATCTGTATCCTGCTTCTTGTAGGTCATAGTGCCTCATTATCCGGTCTTTAAAATAATCAAAATCAAGTCGTAAATTTTCTGGCACTGTCTCCAGTATTTTTAACGGTTCTCCTCCAAGGTGTCTTTGGAACAGTATTGCCCAATCTTCTTTTGGAATTTTGTGAAACCGAACTTGTAGTAAAAACCATGAAATTCATGATCCAATGTCATCCTTTTCACAAAAATTCTTTATTAATCCTTTGTATTTTGTAAATTTATGTTCTTCTTCTTTAGCTCTTTCCCTTTGTGCTGCCAGTTCTGCTTTGGATTCATTATCCATTTCTTTTGTTCTTATCTGTGCTTCAACCTTTTCTCTATCTGCATTTATTTGTGCTGCTAACCCTTCCTGTTCAAGTTTTAATTCTTGTAATTTGATTTCTTTCTCATGGTCTAATTGCTGTTGTTTCATTGCTGCTTCATGCTGTAACTGCTTATCTTTCAGTGCTGCTTCTTACTGTAATTGTTTATTTTTCATTGCTGCCTCGTGGGCACGTGCTTCTGCTTCCTAGGCGCGTGCTGCGGCCCTTTCTTCACGATCCAATTGTTGTTGGACCCTTTGTGCTTCTTTAAGTTCACGTTCGCGTTCTTTGTCCTCCTGTTCTCTTCCTTCACAGAACTTTCTCAATTCCTCCCCTGATAACCCTAACTGTTTTCCCAGATTTATGTATTCTGCTAGGTTTGACATTTTAAAACTGATTATTGTAACTTATTACTTTTGAAACTGTTTAAATTTAAGATAAATCCCGTATTATTTATTTTATACCCTTCTTTAACTAAATAATTGAAAGTTTAAATTTAATTCTATCCCCTATCAAATTTGTATGCTCAACTAATAACCAAAAAAAAAAAAAAAAAAAAAAAAAATTATCTATTTTACTTAAATAGAATAATAGAATATCACAATCAAAGAACCTGAAACTAAAAAAAGAAAGCATATAAACAATATAATGAGTTAATTCTTTTTTCTTGGTCGTGGTGCTGGCTCCATCGTTATTCTGCTGTTGGAATGGACTGAATTAGGTTTGTGGCCCTTGATGCTCCGTTGAACGTCTTTACTGTCTCTGGATACGCTCTTCTGATCTTTGTAGGACACTGCTCTTGTCTTGTGTCGTGGTCCAAGTCTGTAAATGATCTTAAAAGACTACCATTAGTTTATGCTCATTTAGTAAATCAAATATGTCCAAACGTCTTTATACCATGTAGTTTAACAATCTACACTGAAGTTGACCAGTTTACACAGATCACTGTTGTCGAATGTTCATAGTTAGTGCATCTTAACTTCACTTTAATTTTCACCACAAATTGTTAACAAATGTTAAGATTGTCAATGAAACAATTTTCTTAAAGCGAATGTACGTAATTTCACCCTACAACCTGAATAGTCATAGTCTATCACATTAATCACTGTTCTTTCTGTCTATCCATTATTATTCGTAAACATTTCGTGACGCAATTAATGTCGATAAACACCACTCCTTCCTTGCCAACACAATAAACACTTGAACTCACCTATACGGACGTATTACAAACATTTAGTAGTAAAAGTACTACTTCTGGTACTGACTGGACCCCGTTGTTATTTTTATTGACAAGTATTCTTGACATGAGGCATTCACTTGTGGCAGGTGTGCTGTACGGTTGCCTCGAGTTAGCTGTCGCTGATGACCTCTTATCTGCTACTGTGTTGTACTTGACCGTTGTTGATGACCTTGCTCGCTGTAACTGAGTGCCGTCTTGGCCCCTGGCAATGCAGTGTTTTTGCGGAGAAATCTAGTCCGAAATTGGTATCTCTGGTTTATGACCTCTTGTTTGACGAACAAAACCCACGTCAAACAATGATCACAGGGATACACCTGCTGACAATTTTCCGTCGTGGATTACCCACCACAAGGGTCAACAGTTCAGATTACACTGTCTCTTCCAGCGACGAACAAGCGTTCCCACGTCGCGGGATCAAACGTGTGCAATTTTTTAACACGTGGAGTGAATACATTACCCAGTATTGCTTCGCCGTGTTTCTACCAATTTTTCTCAGGCTAGCTTGTTAGTTTGAGAATGACCAGAGTCTGGAATTCAGTTGTCCCGGTTTTACTTAATGCCCTTTGACAGCATGTCCTGGTCTTACATAATACCAAGACATTTCTTTAAACTTCATCTTCCAAAACACATAGTCACTCTCAGCTTACGGCTGCCGGTGTTGGCCTAAATTTTACGTCTGTCCACAACAACATTACACGTAATGTACTGCCACAGTTAGAACAAGCCTCCAATGTAATTCATACTTATAAATTACAATGTATTCACACTTAGGACGGGTTCCCAATGTAATGACTGCACTATTGTCTCCTCCACACTGGATATCTCTGGTGCAGAGTTATCACTGGCTCTGATGTCTAGAGGGTCACAGCTCAATCAAAGCAAACATGATCTCTCTTGACGGTCACACGACTTCTAACAATGGTTGACACCAGCGGCACATTTCACGAGTTTATTATCACTGTAGCACAATACACGAATCACAGGAGAATCCACTTACAGCATTCGGACAATGGACGTTAACATATTCACGGCTGGCTTCAACAATCAAACAGGGTAACATAACAGCTGGCCTTCACGATCATTCATTCGTCGCCGATTCAGATCCACATGCTCTCGTCATTCTCCATTCATCTTCACAGCTTCAGATGCACTTCCTTCCAGTCTGGGGCGCAGTCACCGAATCCCCGCCTGATTCTCAATCCCCCAGATCTCACCATTCACACGTGACTCACTCTTTCCTGTTGTTTCACCACATCTCCGTGAAACCCATGCTCAGCTTTAGCAGTTGCTGATGCATTACTTCTGACAGTGCATATACTGCACCCGTCCTCACACCCAGCGTACGTGATGTTCCAGATGTACTCCTCATTGGAAGCTGTTATTTGTATTCCAAGAAAATTGAATAACTGCCTCGCTGCTGCCACCGGAGACTCAGCAATGTCCTCATACCGAACGGTCAATATACGTTTAGGAAACATCCCTGATAGATCTTTCGATATGTTTATATTGTTCACGACTTGGGAGCATAATTTGTTGGCTTGTTCTGACACGGGTGTCAGTCTGAATCTTTCATTAAATCGTAAACGAGATGCGATGACGGCTCTTGGATCTCGTATCAGGTGAACGACTTTAACAGTTGAGTCGGAGACCATGAGAGCTGCAGCCTGTCGCATGCTGAGGCGTATGGTCTTGGCGGCTATGATTTTAGCAGAACGACATTTGGAGTTCACCTCTTGAAAACAACGGACAATTCTGTGCCACTGGCTTTCTGATGCATCTAACAAATAAAAAACACACACACAAAAAATGGACATAGCAGAAAAATGCAGATCCATAAGTAGCTAATAATATACTACAGAAATGCATTACCGGTATGAGATATAACGGTATAATGGTACACCCAGGGCCGGTTTAACACCCTTTGATACCCAAGAGATATAACAACATTTTGGTGCTGCCCCCCCCCCCCTTCCCCAATTCTCCCATTACTGACCCGTCTCACAGCATTGTGGGTCCCTGGGAAAATCAGCACGTTGAGGCTCCTACAACAAAAATCCACGGAAATTAAGTGTAAAAAGTCACTTTATATACACAGATTTGCATGCGGTTCCTATGCTCGTGGAGCAACCGGCTTGTGTACCGCGGGCTCGTTTATTAAGACGGCACATTTGAATTCCGCCCCCCCCCCCTCCCCACACACCCCATTTCTAAGTAATTAAAGATTGAAAATATTATCAATAATAAGCAATTCAATACAATATTATTTATCAAAAATAATTAAAAGTAAGGTGTATTTTTTTTCAATACTTCTTTCTTTTTTTTTTTTTTTTTTTTTGAAACAGTTTTCTCCTGATGTGAGAGACCCATGTTCGAGCCCATGTAATCTGATGGAGCTTTTCTGTCAAGGGTAAAATTAAACATCCTAGTTAGGTAATGATTTCGTTATTCAGTTAGTTAGTGATTTAGTTAGTTATTTAGTCAGTTATTGATTTCGTAATTCAGTCAGTTGTTGATTTCGTTATTTATTCAGTTATTGATTTCGTTATTTAGTCAGTTTTTAAATTCGTTACTTAGTCAGTTATTGATTTCGTTATTTAGTCAGTTATTGATTTCTTTATTTAGTTAGTTATTTAGCTAATCAGCTTGCTAGACAGTTAGTAAGTTAGTCAGTCTGTCAGTCAGTCAGTCCGTTAGTTAGTTAATCAATCAGTCAGTCAGTTATTCAGTCAGTTATTCAGTCAATCAGTCTGTCAGTTAGTTTGTTAGTTAGTTAGTCAGTGAGTCAGTCAGTCAGTGAGTCAGTCAGTGAGTCAGTCAGTTAGTAAGTTAGTCAGTAAGTCAGTCAGTCAGTTAGTTAGTAAGTCAGTAAGTCAGTAAGTCAGTTAGTTAGTTAGTTAGTTAGTTAGTTAGTAAGTTAGTCAGTCAGTAATTCAGTCAGTCAGTCAATTAGCTAGTTAGTTAGTTAGTTAGTTAGTCAGTCAGTCAGTTATTCGGTCAGTCAGTCAGTTAGTCAGTTTTTTAGTTAGTCAGTCAGTCAGTCAGACAGTCAGTCAGTTAGCTAGTCAGTCAGTTAGTCAGTTGGTCAGTTAGTCAGTCAGTCAGTCAGTCAGTGAGTCATTCAGTCCATCAGTCAGACAGTCAGTCAGTTAGTTAATTAGTTAGTTAGTTAGTTTTTTTTAAATTATTTAATTAGTTGATTAGTTATTAGTAGGTTATTCGTTAGTTTTTAGTTAGTTACTTAGTTAGCTAGTTTGTTGGATGGATGGTTGGTCGGTTGGCTGGTTGCATGGAGGGTTGGCTGGTTTGTTGGTTGGTTAGTTGAGGCTTCCACATCACAGGAAATGTGTCAACCTTAACTCTGTTCCTGTGCCAGGGGAAGTCCTTCAAAATGTACTCTCCCATTTGAAAAATAGAGAAACACTTGTCAGCCAAGCTTTCACACGCAATGCACAAGGCAGTTATCAGATGTAACAGTCTCACAAATTATTTGTCTGCAAACCTCCTCCCACCCCACCCCCACCCTACCCCAGACCCCACACCAATGTTTACCTCCTCTTCTTTAACCTTCTGACGTCGACCTAAATATCTTTTAAACTCCTTAGCGGGAGAGCTTTTTCGTGAGGTGTTAGAAAGGCATACGCACAGCCCAACCCCCCCCCCCCCCCCCCCCCCCCCCCCCCCCCCCCCCCCCCCCCCCCCCCCCCCCCCCCCCCCCCCCCCCCCCCCCCCCCCCCCAAAAAAAAAACTTTTAACTTTTAGGAAAGCAATTGCCTGGTGCTTTTTTTTTTTTTTTTAGTTTACTTTTTGGCAAAACGTTAAATGGTTAAAGAATAGGCGACGACACCCTGTGTAGGTTCCTTGCCCTATTAGGAAAAACAAGAATAGTTCCACTGCCTACACAAATGCATGTCGTAAGAGCCGACTAACTGGGAGCTTCCTTCGAAGTCGGAATGCATCTGCCTGAGAGGTAAGGAACCAGCAGTCTGCATACAAATAAGTCAGATCTGTAAAATGAATACACACGCAACACTCAGGTTCTGGAACAGCACTGCAGCCCAGAAATTAACGAACAACCAGCATTTTCCACCGGAGTTTACAGCTGATGAACGCGAAGAAGAAGACATTAAGCGACAAATAAGTTTAGAGTGGAAATATCAAATCGCGCATCAAACGTCACTTAGGGGCCGAAAGAAAGGAAAAGCTAATTAGGCGTTAACAACAGATATCAAAGCACTAAGGACTTTGCCTTAACAGGTCCGTAACCAGCGCAAATGTCAAAAATTAAAGGTGTCACTTGTAGTTGGACGCATCAGAGACTCAAAGGTCGGACCCATAAGAGATGCAAACGGATGGGAATGAAACATGAGAAGCAACAACGAAATTCATAATCTGTTTTAAACACCATTGATCACTAGCATAATGCGGGATGAAAGACATAAATGGCTGGGACACATTGAGAGAATGTCAAATGACAGAGAGGTAAAATCTGTACACAATCTGTACACTGTAGATTGTCGGCCGTGACTAAACTGTCGTAAATCAGCAGGTAGACCAAGAGGACGATGGGAGATTAAAATCCAGTAAGATCATCTACAAACAACTGATGTCACTAACAGTACAGACAAAGCCAGCCAGATAAATGGAAGCTGGTGATATCTGCAACAGTAAAACCTCAAGGACAAGGGCTTGGAATGCTGAAGAACATGTTGTAGTTTGAACATATGCTCATCACCCATTTCTTCAAAGCACTGAGACTGCGATATCCCTTGGTCTTTCCCCAATTTTAAGAGAACTGAGTGGGAAGTGGAACTGTTTTGACATGTTATGGGAAGGAATCCACTCAAGAACTTTGTGAGAACTCGCAAGATTGATTGAAAAAAAAAGGGGGAAAGACATTAAAAGCCTATGACCTTTTATGCCTGTCGGTTTTGTAAATGATGATGATGATGACAATGAGGATAATGTAAGTAGCCTGACGATGTTGATATCAGAGTTATTTCTTTGATTTCTTGTACTAAATTTACAACAACAACAAAATGTCAACTTACTGGTCAGTCTAACGCACGTGTGGGCATCTATGGTTGTCTTACTTCGCATCATATGGTTTTGCTGTAAAGGACAAATACAGGCGTAACTACGCTAATATCCAGTAGATTAGGCATGTCAAACATGCGGGCGTCAAGCGGTCTTATGTCAGCAAATATGCGTCCTGCATCAACATTATTCTTCATGGGGCTGCCTATTTCTGAGGCATGGTGTCCGCCTCGGGTGCTAGAGGTTCTAGGTTCAATCTCCGGTAAGGGCTGGGATTTTTTCACGTGGACTCTGGTAATTTTCAATCTGGTCTCTGAGTAATGAGATCGGACGCCCGTGTGAATTGGTGCCTACGTAAAAACATCTCTTGACAGTTGGAAATCGAAAAGAGTAGCCTAACGTGGCTGCCCGGGCAGAATTTGGAGGTAAAAATCTACCCTAAGTATTTCAGGATAGACGCCGGTGCTACAGAGCCTGTGCACTGTGCTGAGCTTTTTCGGACTCAGACTGTGCTATGACATAGAGGGGAAATAACACAACATGGCTATCTTCCGAATAACGGGCACATATTATGGCGGCCGAAAGCACACCCTAACAGGCCTCAGTCACAAGTAAATCGTGTACTTCTGGCTACTACCGCCACCGCTACGAGCGGCGTGAAGCGGGGCTAAACTAGATGGCTGGGACTCACGAGCAAATAAAATGAAGGAAGCCGCGGTAGCTGCCGCTAGTGAATCCCAGCGATCTAGTATAGCCCCGCTCCACGCCACGGGTAGCATCGTGGGAGATACTCTCGGCGGTGGCGGTAGTCGCCGTAAGTTCGCAATTCAAGTCGTCGGAGGTACGCAATTTACATGTGGCTGAGGCCTTGTTATGGTGTGTTTTTGGCCGCCATAATATGTGCCCGTTATTCGGAGGATAGCCCACAACATAGATCCCTTGACCTGTCAGGCTGGCCGAGTTGTATCGATAGAAGCACCAGCACACAATACTCACAGTCTTTCTCTGCCTTGTGCTTGTTAAACAAGTGTATACTAATTTAGCCTGTCCATTTCTTGATGTTGTTATTTTAGACGATGAGCAGCTGGCCAAACGATTAGAACGCTGGGCTCTCAAGAAGGAGACCCGGGTTCGAATCCTCGGTAATGCTAGGGATTTTTTCTGTCAGGGGCAAAATAAAATCCTCACCTGCACAGTCATGGCGACAGCACTAGCCATGCGGCCGTAAATACCCAGTCTCCAAGACCAACACTGCCAAGACAGCAAAAGAGACGTAATAAAGACAGTTATTTTACATTCTCTTTTGACGACTGACTGGCTGACTGTTTCTACCCCACCAGGACATCACACAAGCGATAAGCACCCGATGACACAAAGTGCCACCATGTGGATGAGGATCCACCGTGGAGAGGTCCCACAAACCGCGTTCAGACAATTGGCCATGTTTATGGCCTGCCTATATTGCGGTCTGGCAAAAGCCAGGATGGGGCTTCAAATAACAACAAATTTAATCCTAAAAAAGACGTATGGATAGCGTATAACATTCTTTTTTCGGAGGGAGGAATGAGATAAATGGAGACTGAGGGATTTTATGCATGACGTCATAGAGTGGAAAATCATGTGTCACAACTGATTAAAACTATACACAAGACAGAAATTTGTAGACAGACCACCAAAGGCAGATATCACGGACTATAATAGCGAACGAAAGAGCAAAAGAACGAACGAACTTTTTTTTCAAAGGGTAAAGAATTGGGCACGCAGGCCCGTCTAACATTCTCCACTTCTATTCTCCGTCCTTTCAGGCATCATTTCATTTATACATTTCCCCATGTGGGTTCCCGGGCCCTATTATAGAGAAAACCCAGTGCCTACCTAAAAGCATGTCGCGAGAGTCGACTAATTGTGAGCTTCCTTCGAAGTCGGAGTGCATTTGCGTGAGAGGCAAGGAACCAGCAGTCTGCATACAAATGAGTCAGATCTGTAAAATGGATGCACACTCAGGTTCTGGAACAGGACTGCAGTCCCAAAGTGGATGAACAACCAAGATTTTCTGCCAGAGTTTACATCTGGTGAACAGGAAGAAGAAGAAGAATGTATACATCATGTAACAGTAAACATTAACAATAGCATCCAAATATTCAGTCTGATTTAGAAACTTGGTTTCCCGCGTAACAAAGAACATTGACAAAGGGGTAGTTACTTGCAAGGTGCCATTGTCCAGCTCTTCAAATCTGCAACGAAAAAGTGACCTCATTGTCTGTGTGTAGAGTGTTGGTTCCTCTTCTTTGGAATGTGAGGCGCTGAGAACAATAATAATAATAATAGAAGCAGCAGCAGCAGTAGCTGTTGTTGTAGTAGTAGCAGCAGTAGTTTTAGCATAAGGGGAAGTAGTAGTAGTTTTTGTTGAAGCAACAAGTATCAGTAGTAGCTGTAGTAGTAATAGCAGTATTTGCTGTTGTAGTAGCAGCAGCAGTGGTAATATTGGTTTTATTAGTAGTAGTTACAGTAGCTGTAGTAGCTGTTGTCGTAGTTGATGTTGTGGTACTACCAGTTGTTTCACAAGCAGCAGCAGTAGTAATAGTGTTAGCAAAATATTAGTTGTAGTAGCTGTGGTAGTAGTAGTCATAGTATTATTAATAGTAGTGATTAGAAGTAGATGCTGTTGTAGTAGCAGTAGTAGCAGCAGCAGTGGTATTACTAGTAGTAATTAGTAGATGCAGCGGCATAAGTTTTAGTAGAAGCTGTTGTAGCAGCTGCAGTAGTAGTATTAGTAGTTGTTGTAACTGTAGTAGCTGCAGTTGTAGTACTAGTAGCAGTAGTGGTTGTAGTAGTAGTTGTTGTTGTGATGGTGGTGGCAGTGATGCAGCAGAAGCTTTAGTATCACCTGTTTTTGTTGTTTGTTGTGTCACTACTATACTTGCTCTGTTCTGGTAATTTCTCTGTAGTTATCACAGTGTCAGCACATTACTTACTCTACTTTAGTAATGTGCTTATAGTTATCATAGTGTCATTACTCTATTCTGGTAATGTCCCTGTAGTTATCACAGTGTCATTACTTCAGTTACTCTATTCTGACAATGTCCCTGTAGTTATCACAGTAAAATTACTTCAGTTACTCTATTTTCTGGTAATGTCCCTGTAGTTATCACAGTATAATTACTTCAGTTACTCTATTCTGGTAATGTCCTTGTAGTTATCACAGTATAATAACTTCAGTTACTTTATTCTGGTAATCTCCTTGTAGTTATCACAGTGTCATTACTTTAGTTACTATATTATGGTAATGTCCCTGTAGTTATCACAGTGTCATTACTTCAGTTACTCTATTCTGGTAATGTCCCTGTAGTTATCACAGTATAATTACTTCAGTTACTCTATTCTGGTAATTTCCCTGTAGTTATCACAGTATAATTACTTCAATTACTATATTCTGGTAATGTCCCTGTAGTTATCACAGTGTCTCACTTCAGTTACTCTATTCTGGTAATGTCCCTTTAGTTATCACAGTGTCATTACTTCAGTTACTTTATTCTGGTAATGTCCTTGTAGTTATCACAGTGTCATTACTTTAGTTACTATATTATGGTAATGTCCCTGTAGTTATCACAGTGTCATTACTTCAGTTACTCTATTCTGGTAATGTCCCTGTAGTTATCACAGTGTCATTACTTCAGTTACTCTATTCTGGTAATGTCCCTGTAATTATCACAGTATAATTACTTCAGTTACTATATTCTGGTAATGTCCCTGTAGTTATCACAGTGTCATTACTTCAGTTACTCTATTCTGGTAATGTCCCTTTAGTTATCACAGTGTCATTACTTCAGTTACTATATTCTGGTAATGTCCCTGTAGTTATCACAGTGTCATTACTTCAGTTACTTTTTTCTGGTAATGTCTCTGTAGTTATCAGTGTCGGTATATTTAAGTTAAATTAGTATCCTTTACAGGATGTTGCAGAACCAACCCCAGCATTTTTTGTCTGTTGTGGTTATCTAGGCAAGTTTACATCCAGTAGTTTGCCATTGCCTCTGGACGGTCGGCTTATCGATACCACTGTCGAAACCAAAGCAAGGTGCAAGGTCCGCAGCAATGATCGAGCCCCTAACCCACAGATGCCGACAAACTACTCACTCTATAATGGTAATGTCACTGAAGTCTTTCACGGTGTCATTACTTTACTTAGACAATTTAGAAAAAAAATTATTAAACACCTTAAGACAAACAGAGCAATTTAAGTATTTTGGAGCAATTTTCACATCCGACGGAAAACTGGTCAGAGAAATTAGCTCCAGATGTGCCAAAGGTAATCAAGTAATGGGGCAACTATCTCCTCTGTTGACACACAAGCAGATACCCGGGAGTACTAAAGTGAATCTTATCAGAACTATTTTTTGGCCAACACAATGCTATCAATGCCAAACGTGGACACTTCCAATGAACGCAAAATTGTGACAATAGAGATGAAATGCCTTAGAAGAGCTGCAGGAGTTTCAAGAAAAGACAGAATACGAAATCACGAAATCAGACGAATGCTAGGAATAAAGCCAGTCTTACAGGTCATCAAAGAACAATAAATGAAGTGGTTTGGACACGTAACGAGAATGCCCTGGTACTATCTGCCACAGAGAGCCACACTAAAACGTTACAACGGGTATAGAGCGAGAGGAAGACCTCGGAAAATATGGAGTGATGGCAATAATAACAGGTTTACAGAAATCAACATCATTCTTAATAGTGCTCTTGACAGAGCTCATCAACGAACATTACACCCCCCCCCCCACCTCCCTCGACACTTCGATGAGGTACAAGGTGGAAGAGGAGAAGAAGAAGAAGATTACTTTACTTACTCTACAATAGTGTTATTCTTGAAATGTATCACTCGGTCGCGGTCCAACCCCTCAAACTGTCGACCTATAGTTTTCAGGGGTTCGAAGACGTAGAATATATCCGGATGTTGCTGGATTATGTCCCCTGTGAGACTGGAACCACTTCGCAGGTAAGACAGAACTATCACTTTCCATGTGGCAGTTGGTATGTCATCTCTGGTTGGTCGCTTACCAGGCTGTTTCAAGCTGTTCGACTGGAGGCTGTCTTGTGAGAATATCTGCTTGGTTGGTGTGATAACTTGCAACAATCCTGAAGAAATCAAAAGAATGAGTAAACTATTAAAGGAAGAAATAACACACATGGGTTCGGGATATTCGAACACGAAAGGTCACCAAAGTCAAGAATGGATAAGGTCACTAATACAAGCATTAGATAGTGACTGAATTATCAATCATTCAATTAGGTGCGTGTCCACAATGAAGGTTGGCTGCAAAAAACAAACAAAAACCGCATGCTCTGTCTCTTGTCCTGGTTGTAGACTCTCTCAGACTGCTGATATGATCCTCCCACTTGTATCGTTGCTCACCTCTAGCTCTCTTGCCTTCGATATTTCCCTTCATTATGGTTTTGTCTGGGATGTTATGGTTTTATGAAATGGATTATACTAAATGACCAACAACAACAAAACTCACGTGGTTTGGAAATCTACAGAAAAGTGCAGCCGTATTGTCTACAGCAGAATTTATCGGAGCAGTCAGAACAGAAGATCACAATTTTATCATCATGTAGCTAACTATCTAGTCATCCCCTTGTGGGATGCAGTTTTTCGTTATTTGAAGCCCTATCTGGCTCTTGACACGGGCCGCAATATAGCCCGGCCATAAATATAGTCTCATGGCTGAACGCGGTTTCTGTGACCTCTCCATGGGTGATCCTCATCCACATGATGGCACATTGTGTCATCGGGTGTTTATCGCTTGGGTGATGTTCTGGTGGGGTAAAAAAAAGATAGACAGAGATCATAGTGTAGCAGGTCCTTTGGAGATTGTCGCTCTCCCCACGATCTTTCTCAAACAGCAACTCCTGTCTCTCACCAGATATCCCACCTCCACGCAAGGTGTCACCTATATACTGTGCCCAGCTTTGTAGTGCTCTACCCCTGCCCCTCTTTCCGTGCATAATGCCTTCTGCTACTATTCTTTCCAATCCTGCGTGATGCTTGATGTGTCCTAAATATTACAATTTCCGAGAATAGATGCTGTTTACCAACCAGACTTTCTTGATGTTCACATCTTTTAGGATGTCAGTATTTCTCTTTCTCTTGGTACATAGTACTCTGATAATCTGCCTGTAGCACTTGAGATCAAAACCCCTGTTTTCCTTATGAATTACTGTAGGATCGTCCATGACACACATCCGTATTTTGCTAAATGGAATGTTGAATTACGAATCGACATCACAGCACTCTGGACACCCTTACAAGAGCTATGTCCCAATCTTCAGCAGCAAGCGAAGAGTTTTAATATCAGTAACTGTCTGATTTATATTCGTCTTGCCTTTCCCTTGAGTGTTGAGCGTCCGCCAGATCCCCTGGTAACTCCCCGCGGCGTCATTCTCCTCAGACCGTAATGATCTATTTGTACCTCTGCACCGTTCACTCGCTCCCATATTGCTAAATAGAGCATACCTGGAGCTAAAAATGTTCAGCTTTATTTGATTGCTAGTTCCTAACCATAAACTTTTAGTCCCGAAGAAAGCCAAGGAAGAGTTAGACAGTAAAGGTGAATCCTGGGGAAATGATAGGAAAATACCCATCACTCAAACCTTCCGACTAGCACAAGACAAATACACACACCCAGGACTGTGCTACAAGTGAATAACAACACAACCTCCATCATGTGCCGTGACAGTAATCGTCGGCTGACAAGTTTCGATGTCTCACAGAATCATCAGAATGACAAACAATATCAATGATACTCTCAAAAAGTTCAGCAAAAAATTAAAAACAAAATTTGCTGCTTTACAATCACATACATAACTTATTTATCTTAATTCATTTATTAACAAGCCTTCTTGTTCTTCTTCTTTGTCTTATTGTTTATCTTCTTTTTCTTCTTTTTCTTTTACTTCTTCTTCTTCTTTTTCTTCTTTTTCTTCTTCTTCTTTTTCTTCTTCTTCCTTTCTTCTTCTTCTTCTTTTTCTTCTTCTTCTTCTTCTTCTTCTTCTTCTTCTTCTTCTTCTTCTTCTTCTTCTTCTTCTTCTTCTTCTTCTTCTTCTTCTTCTTCTTCTTCTTCTTCTTCTTAACCCCCCTTTCCCCAGTGGAGCATAGGTTCTCAACCAACTTACGCCATGTCGTTTTATCCTTCAGTATTGCACGCAGCTCACACCATGTCCTCTCCATCTCTTTAATTTCACTCTCTCCAAAGTGTGTGTGTGTTTTTTTTTTACCTACCTTTATTTCTATGCCCCTGTGGATTCCAGTACAAAGACCTTCTAGTTATTTTGTTCTCAGGTATTCTCAACGTGTGCCCTGTCCAACGCCAGCGTCTTTTCTTCACCTCTTGATGCACTGGAACTTGTTTGAATTCTTTCCCAAAGCTATACATTGGTGAAACTATCATTCCATTTAATTCCCTTTACTCTGCTCAGGCACCAGTTAACGAATGTGTGTACTTTTTTAATGACTGTGTTAGTCGTTTCAGCTCTATAGAATACTACTGATTTGACATCAGAATTTAACAAAATAAATAAATTTAGAACATTCCAGGGACTACAGGACTTATACTCTCGTACACTAGATAACAAGTCGCCTTATCAGAGCGGCTAGACGCCTCCTGGCTAGGGCCGGACTTTTCTCAAAAACGTCTTTGGCTCTCAAGTGGACCCAGCCTTGAGCGGATACTGTGTGCAGTTCCGGAAGTAAAGGCGGTCGGCGTGATGCTGACCATATCATCTATCTTATGCCGATTGGTCTATAAAAATATAGGTCTAGCCCTATATGGCCTATACGCCTAAAGGCGTGGAAAAGGGTCCTTTACTTTTTTTTTTACTTGCACTAGACTAAACGTTGGTTTGTAATCGTTTAGTGGTGCACCGTTATAATCATTCTGTATGACTATACGGTTGAATCGGAGCTTCCTTGATTTGGAATAGCACGTAGAGAAGACATACTCTAATTTGAAGGGGGGGGGGGGGGAACATTATAGAAACCTTTTCTTCTTTACGTCCTCTTTTACCACTTCTGTTTTTGAGATATAAGGTCCTGCTTCGTGCTCTTCTGGTTGCTTCGACCAAAGACACATAGTGGTACTGTAGAGTTTCTATAATGTTATCCTTCCACATTGTTCTTCGTCTGCCTCTTGCTCTACGTCCCTCGCCTCTTTTGGTATTTTCCTTGAATGGTATAGCTTGAAAATGCCTTCTCAACAAGTGGGTAAACCATTTGATATGCTGTATTTGTATGTAATTTAGAATTGGTTCTGTGCGGGCTTTATCTCGTATGATCTCATTCCTGAATGTATCTCTTATGACCACTGCTACAGTCTTTCTCAGACACCTCATTTCCATGGTTACTAATTTTCTTTTATGTTTTGTTGTGAGTGACCACGTCTGGCACTGATATCATAGAGTGGGAATGAATATGCTTTGTATGAGATGTTTCTCTGTGCTGATTGAGATAGCCTTATGTTGTAAGAGGGGATCTAGCTGCCCCAATACTTGGCCAGCTTTACTGTATCGAATATCAATTTCTTGGTCTAATTTAGTATCTTCAGTGAATGTTGTTGTAAGATATTTAAATTCAGATGCTTGTTTAATAAATCAATGCCCTAATGTTGTGTTTAAATCCCGCTTCTCTCTTCCTGTTGACAATATTTTTTGTTTTTTTTTTTTTTAAAAAAAAGGCTCTACTGTCAAATTTGGCCGGTAAGCTGGACTGCTTCGGCCGGCTTAGCGGGGCTTAGTGGGATTTATATCCCTTTGCCAAACTCACAACAACTCAAAACAAGTCGCGGAAAAAGTCACGAATCAAATGGCGTACTTACCTATCATCATCCGGGTGCGTGAAGGGTTGTGTAGGGTGTCTATCATCGTCCTACGGTTGCGTGTAGGGCTGCTTATTGCGTGTAGGTTGGCTGTTTGCGTAAGATGAGGGGTAGGGTTAGGGGTTAGGGTTAGGGTTTAGGGTTAAGTTTTAGGGTAGGGTTTAGGGTTTAGGGTTAGGGTTTAGGGTTATGGTTTAGGGTTTAGGGTTATGGTTTAGGGTTTAAGGTTAGGGTTTAGGGTTTAGGGTTTAGGGTTAGGGTTAATGGTTAGGGGTTAGGGGTTAGGGTTAGGGTTTAGGGTTAGATGTGACAATTGTGACGCCGTAGTTCCCTACAATCGCGCACAGTCGCATGCACGCACAAACAGTCGACGGACGGTGGATGCTACTGACACGGACAAGTCGCCAACGATTGGGCACCAGCCGCGCGCTATTGCCGTCATATTTGGCACACTTCCAGTGGCGCCACTCCCACAAGCATCAGATTGTCGGCCAGTATTTCGACCTCCTACGTGAAAATTTTCACATCTAACCCTAACCCTACCCCTAACCCTAACCCCTAACCCTAACCCTAAACCCTAACCCTAACCCAACCCCTAACCCTACCCCTAACCCTACCCCTAACCCTACCCCTAACCCTACTCCTAACCCAAATCCCTAACCCTACCGCTAACCCAATCCCGACGCAACCCTACACTCAACCGTATGATGATGATGATAGACACCCTACGCAGCCCTACACGCAACCGTATGATGATAGGTAACCCTAGACGCAACCCTACGCAGCCCTACACGCACCCGGATGATGATAGGTAAGTATGTCATTTGATTCGTGACTTTTTCCGCGACTTGTTTTGAGTTTGGCAAGGGGACGCGAAGGGACATAACTCTCACTAAGCCGGCCGAAGCAGTCCAGCTTACCGGCCAAATTTGACAGTAGAGCCAAAAAAATATATTACACAAATCATTATATTTTTTGAAAATTTGTTGGGTCAACCAATTAGCCAAAGTAAAGTTACTAACAAATATAAATAATCGATATTCCGATACGAAATTGAAACCTGAATTGAGACAGAACAGACCAACTGTGGTAAACAACAAATGTAATTAGACTTACTTATTACCACAAGGACTGTCGCCATTATGGACACGACACGGAAAAGAAAGCATTTC